ATAGAATAGTCTATTCTTGTCTAGTGTCTAGTTTATGAAGTATATCTATAGACCAGTATATTCTTGTCTTACATTCGTCATCATCACCAGAAATCCTTCAGATACAGACTACAATGAACCCAGAAAGCGTCGGCCGCCGATTATTTTTTTTTAAATGCAAAATATTGTAACAATAAAAACGTTTTCCAAAAATAAAAAAACGTATGAAATTAAATTTATTAAAAAACGGCAGGTTCTAAGTGTGGGTGGTGGTGGGTGAAAAATCAATCAATCAGCATTACTCCTAAGTATAGCCCNATATATGTTCACTCTACACTCATTAATATATGTTCACTCTACACTCATTAATATATGCTTACTCTACACTCATTAATATACCTCCCATTTCTCTATTTGTCCTATGAAAATGTCGTATTACTTTTTATGTTTAAAGAACGGCTAATCTTAGACATAAAGATAGAAAAATTAAAACAGTATAATTTTTAAAAATAAAAAGTTAAATTTTGCTATCTTTGCAAGATTTTTACTTAAAGATTTCAAGATTTGTTATGATGTTTTTTTATTTATCAAAAGATTTTTGATTTAAATATTTTTTCACTAAAATACAGTAAAAACCAAAAACTGTGGAATAGAAAGACGACATTGAACCAATTTTTCATATGTCTTATTATAAAGCAAATAGTTTTACCCGTTTCTTAAATATCAATTTAATAAAGCAAATTGGTCATTGTACAGTGTACACTCCACATTTGCTGAGTTCAGTCAAGGTTATAATGCAAGGAAAGTTAATTGCGGTCGTGTATACTCTGCGTACAAATTGAAACCAGTTCTCTCGGGCGAAATTTGTAAACAAGAATAGATGCATCATTGTTCGTCTAGTATCCGAGGAGGATTAAAGCATTTAATTTTGATAGTTTTGATATTTTACATAATAGTTCCCTATGGCCAGAATAATTCATAGATTATTTTTGTGAAAATGGATTCCATGTTAGGCTGTGGAATCTGTCTTGTGTTTACTTTTCCGCCCAAGGACAGTACATTTCAGTACAAAAAAACCGTATACCTACGAAATAACTTTCCTTGCATTAGTACCTTGAGTTCAGTGGACTATTTAAAAGTTAAAACTAATATTTGTTCATAACACTAACAGACGTCTTTCTATTCCATATGAACCCAGCAAACATGGTAGTGTTTTATTAAACCACCCTGTAGATAAATACATGGATAGATAGATAGAAAGATAGATGACTATACGAATGTATGAGTATATTCTGGTTTAGTATAAGGACTAGGTATAGATCAGTATTTATGAGACAGCTAAGATATATTTTCCGGGGGAGAGCTCAACCACTAAATTATAAGTATTGATGATGAAGAGAGATACATAATAAGTATCTAAACCAGGTTAGCATACATTCTTTTTTAAATTTTAACAGAAAACTCTATTTCATAAAGTTGTGGATATCTCTAGAACCTGGAGTAAGGTTGTGGATATCTCTAGAACATGGAGTAAGGTTGTGGATATCTCTAGAACCTGGAGTGAGGTTGTGGATATCTCTAGAACCTGGAGTAAGGTTGTGGATATCTCTAGAACCTGGAGTAAGGTTGAGGATATCTCTAGATTCTGGAGTAAGGTTGTGTATATCTCTAGAACCTGGAGTAATGTTGTGGATATCTCTAGAACCTGGAGTAAGGTTGTGGATATCTCTAGAACCTGGAGTAAGGTTGTGGATATCTCTAGAACCTGGAGTAAGGTTGTGGATATCTCTAGAACCTAAAGTAAGGTTGTGGATATCTCTAGATCCTGAAGTAAGGTTGTGGATATCTTCAGATCCTGAAGTAAGGTTGTGGATATCTCTAGAACCTAAAGTAAGGTTGTGGATATCTCTAGAACCTAAAATAAGATTGTGGATATTTCTAGAACCTGAAATAAAATTTTGGATATCTCTAGACCCTGGAATAAAGTTGTGGATATCTCTATAGAATATATCCTAAACCTGTCCAACCCAGTCCAAAGCTCCGTCCTGTCAATATTTATGAGACAGAAAATTTTCACTTTTGAAAGCGCTGCAGCAGGCTGCAGTAAATTATATGATTTTCACATAAACCGCCCCCTTTCCTCCCCAGTTCCTTTCACATTTTAGATTTTTACATCTATTCTTACATCTATTCTTACATCTATTCTTACATCTATTCTTACATATATTCTTACATCTCTTCTTACATATATTCTTACATCTATTCTTACATCTATCTTACATATATTCTTACATCTATTCTTACATCTATCCTTATATCTATTCTTACATCTATTCTAACATCTATTCTTTCATCTATTTTTACATCTGTTATTGAATCTATTTTTCCACCTATTATCATATCTATTCTTGCATCTATTCTTAAATCTATCCTTACATCTATTCTTCCATCTATTTTTGTATCTATTCTTACAATAATTTTTAGATTTAATCTTCTAATACATTCATGGATTCATCTTTTTCATTAATTTATTAGTTCATGTTTACTTCATCCTCCTTTCTCTTTAAGTTTTTCTCTATCCATTCAAATCCATTATTTAACTTTTTTCCTCTTCATCTTCTTCTTTTTCGTTTCTTCATTTTCTTATTCTTCTCTTTTTCTGCTTTATAATTCGTTTATCCTTCAGCTCCCACTTTCTTCATATCAATTATCTAGTTTTATTCTTTCTATCTTCCTAGAATACTTTCTCTTGTTTCTTTCTTACTTTTCTATATCTTCCCTTTTCTCTTCTTTCTTCTATAATCGCTCTTCTTTATCTATTTCTTTTTCTTTCTCATCTTTACTTTTTTGTTTATATTTTATTCTTTTAATATTCTCGCTCCAACTTTAAAACATTTTTCAGAATACTACCCCCTTCTTTCCCCTTTTGACCCCTCCGCCCTCCCATCTCCATATTTTGCATGAGAAATGTAAGTGAACCTATTTGTTTACTAACATTGATAAATTCCTTCTTCTTCCGAACCATGATTAGTGATTAGATTTCCCTACAGTTAGATCCTTTAATAACTAGTTCAAGTGATTTAGTATCTTGGTAGGATATATCTTCAATAATTAGTATTTGCTTGATTGTTTCTGTCTAGAGCAAACTTATAGTGTCATGCACATCAATTTCACTCTACACTCATTAATATATATTCACTTTACACTCATTAATATATATATTCACTCTACACTCATTAATATATGCTTACTTTACACTCATTAATATATCTTCACTCTACACTCAGTAATATATATTCACTCTACACTCATTAATATATGTTCACTCTACACTCATTAATATATATTCACTTTACACTCATTAATATATGCTTACTCTACACTCATTAATATATGTTCACTCTACACTCATTAACATATCTTCACTCTACACTCAGTAATATATGTTCACTCTACACTCATTAATATATATTCACTCTACACTCATTAATTTATGTTCACTCTACACTCATTAATATATATTCACTCTACACTCAGTAATATATATTCACTCTACACTCATTAATATATCTTTACTCTACACTCATTAATACATCTTCACTCTACACTCATTAATACATCTTCACTCTACACTCATTAATACATCTTCACTCTACACTCATTAATATATCTTCACTCTACACTCATTAATATATGTTCACTCTACACTCATTAATATATATTCACTCTACACTCATTAATATATGTTTACTCTACACTCATTAATACATCTTTACTCTACACTCATTAATATATGTTCACTCAACACTCAATAATATATCTTCACTCTACACTCAGTAATATATATTCACTCTACACTCATTAATATATCTTTACTCTACACTCATTAGTATATCTTCACTCTACACTCATTAATATATCTTCACTCTACACTCATTAATATATGTTCACTTTACACTCATTAATATATGTTCATTTTACACTCATTAATATACGCTCACTCTACACTCATTAAAATATGTTCACTCTACACTCATTAGTATATGCTCACGCTACACTCATTAATTTATGTTCACAATCACTCTACACTCTCTAATATATGTTCACTTTACACTCATTAATATATGTTCACTCTACACTCTCTAATATATCTTCACTCTACACTCATTAATATATCTTCACTCTACACTCATTAATTTATGTTCACTCTACACTCATTAATTTATGTTCACTCTACACTCATTAATATATGTTCACTTTACACTCATTAATATATCTTCACTCTACACTCATTAGTATATGCTCGTTCTACACTCATTAATTTATATTAACAATCACTCTACACTCATTAATATATGTTTACTCTACACTCATTAATATATATTCACTTTACACTCATTTATATATATTCACTCTACACTCATTAATATATGTTCACTCTACACTCATTAATACATATTCACTCTACACTCATTAATATATGCCTACTCTACACTCTTCCCTCATTAATATATTCTCACTCTACAATCGTTAATGTATCTTTACTCTACACTCATAAATATATGTTCACTCTACACTCATTCATATATATTCACTCTACACTCATTAATATATGCTCACTCTACACTCATTCATATATATTCACTCTACACTCATTAATATATATTCACTTTACACTCATTAATATATATTCACTCTACACTCATTAATATATGTTCACTCTACACTCATTAATATATGCTCACTCTACACTCATTCATATATATTCACTCTACACTCATTAATATATGTTTACTCTAAACTCATTAATATATCTTCACTCTACACTCATTAATATATCTTCACTCTACACTCATTAATATATATTCACTCTACACTCATTAATATATGTTCACTCTACACTCATTAATATATGCTCACTCTACACTCATTCAAATATATTCACTCTACACTCATTAATATATGCTTACTCTACTAGATAACTTACGCATTATTTTACTCATTATTTTACTCATGTTACTATTAATCTTTTATTAAGAAAAATTTTACATTTATTTTTACTATTTTCCTACCAAATCTTTTCTTAATATTTTCCCAGCTGCGGATTTAGGAATGGAATCCACAAAAACTACTCCGCCGTTCAGTTGCTTGTGGGCGGAGAGCTTTAAAGACATCCACTGTTTTACATCCGCCTCAGTCAAAGATCCGCTTCTAAAATAAAATAGTTTAAATTAAATATGATGTTTGCGTACTGCAGTGTGTATCTCATTTCCTGGACAAAATGTAAATAAACTAAGTTTAAAACTCAATCAGTAAACTTTTTGTAGTAGACTATAAAAGACTACTTTATCCACTGGACTATTACAAAACAAAAGATTTTACAGTATTTACAGGTTGAACTACATTCATAAATTTTCAATTGTGGTTTTCTATATTCCAAGGATTAAATCCTCTATAGCTAGAACATAAGTTCGAAAGTCGTATGATCTGAACCAGTACAAGGATTGCCTTCTACCACCAAGTATGTGGTTGACCCACCGTGATATATGCAACAGAATTAGGCGGGCAGAACTATATGAAGCTTTCTCTATCGCTTCCTCTCTCTATCTTTCCCTCTCTCTATATATATCTATCCCTCTATCTTTACCTATCCCACTCTCCCTCCATATACTCTCTATCTACCCCTCTCTCTATCTACCCCTCTCTCTGTCTACCCCTCTCTCTATCTACCCCTCTCTCTATCTACCCCTCTCTCTATCTACCCCTCTCCCTATCTATCTATTCCTCTCTATTTATATATCTCTCTCTCTCTCTACCTGACAATAAAAGCTCTAGGAAGTTGACCAGCCCGTCCATCTTGAACTCCAACAACAGCTACATCTTCAACACCGTCTAATTGACGGAGTGTATTCTCAAGTTCTGCTGGAGCTACTTGTAAACCATTCACCTAAACGATAAAAGAATCAAATGCAATTCCTACAAGAATATGCTTGCTGTACAGGGTTACTTACAAAGAATGAGAAATTAAAGACGACTTTTAACTCTTTAAATATATCGATCTAAAGGTTTAACTTAGCATTCTGTCTTCAACAGTTCATTATTTGTTAATTATATAATTTATTTACAGTTCCAGGGAACCACAAATCTAAGAGTAAGACTGAATCAATTTAGAATAGTCGTATCTGAGCCCGTTCTCTCGATCAAAATGTGTGAACAGTGGTCGTACTTTGGAGAGGACGATAGTTTGGCCGCCAGATGTCTCATGCTAAATTCTTATCTGATAGATAGATAATTCAATCGACCACAGTACGGCCACATTGAGAGACGTCATATGGTCGACCAATGTAATGATAGAAGGAATGGCCTCTGAAGTCTTATCCTTAGTGAGTTAGCCTGTATCACTATAATGCAACATATACTGAAAGTGAATGTAACTAAACAGAAATAATAACAACATGAAAATAACTTTTTTATGGGTGTAAAGTTATTTAATATTGAAAAATAGGTAAAATAATTATTGTATTATAATTCTTGTGACTTTCCCAGGTTTGAGACAAAGATCTTTGAGTTAAATAAATAAAGAATAGAATAAAGAATACTGTCCCAAAAGATGGTTTAGATGCAGTTTATTTAATTTTAAATAAATCAGATTCTTTTGAGACGGTGCATAGACACTTGTAAAGTCATGTTTAAGCTGTTTCTTTATTAATAATCACAATATTTATTCTTTTCTAAAATTTCAAAACTAGCAGATTCAGGGTTACCCATATAGATGGACTTTATTGACGACAAGAAATCTCTGGATAGAACACATAAACAAATATAGACACTCAGCCAACGTATCTCACAAATTCTTGATTGCAAGAGAAAGTGGGGTTCATACAGTACACATATTGCAGGGTCTGCAGGGGTTTGTTTTAAATTTCGATTTTGGCATGTATTTAGAAGGAATTTTGCCGGAGTACGCATCAATACTAAATGATCAGAGAGATTGACATTTTCCCCCTAAAATGTAAATAAAAATAAGAAAATAAACAAAGGAACCATTGGAAAAAGAACTTGTTTTAAAAAATGCATACACAAAAAACCCAATTTTTCTAAGATTGTACAGTTTTGCCCAGCTTGCCGGCTGTACTCAGAACATTAAACCTCTATCAAAATCTACTATGTGATACAATAACATATTTAGAGGTTGAATTATGGTTTCTATAGTCTTAAAATGGTATATTGATAGAATTAAATAATAAAGAAACAAATATAGGACTGTAGAGAACCATGAATGTAAGAAAAATGATAAGGTAACCCTAGCATTCATTCATATTCATATTTTCATTCAACGACAAAGCATGAGATATTACAAATAAGCAATCACAATTTACTATGCAGTTTGGACCCGCCTAACCAGAGTAGGTTGTTTTTAGGGGTTGGCCCCAAGTTAGTTAACGATACTGAATATAATTGGTTACTTTTCTCGTTTTATCATGCTTTCCGAAAACTTTTTAAAATGTCGAACATATTGTTCCAATACACAAATCCTCATTCAATCCACATTGCATTTCCATAATGCGTACAAAACAAAAATTTTAAGTCTTTTTTCTAATAGCTAAGAGTTTTAATACATTGATAAGTTCTTTTATCCTATCTGAAATATAAATACATTGATAAGTTCTTTTATCCTATCTGAAATATAAATAAATTGATAAGTTCTTTTATCCTATCTGAAATATAAGTACATTGATAAGTTCTTTTATCCTATCTGATATAAAAATACCTTAATAAGTTCTTTTATCCTATCTGATATAAAAATACCTTAATAAGTTCTTTTATCCTATTAAATACCTCAATAAGTTCTTTTATCCTATCTGATATATAAATACCTCAATAAGTTCTTTTATCCTATCTGATATATAAATACCTTGATAAGTTCTTTTATCCTGTCTGATATATAAATACATTGATAAGTTCTTTTATTCTATCTGATATATAAATACCTTGATAAGTTCTTTTATCCTATCTGATATGTAAATACCTTGATACGTTCTTTTATCCTATCTGAAATATAAATACCTCAATAAGTTCTTTTATCCTATCTGAAATATACCTTGATAAGTTCTTTTATCCTATCTGATATATAAATACCTTGATAAGTTTTTTTATCCTATCTGATGTATAAATACCTTGATAAGTTCTTTTATCCTATCTGATATATAAATAATTCCATCCTTGTTAAAGTATCCAACATCCCCCGTTTTCATCCAACCATCCTGAATATAAAGGAGTTCGACTACACTTGGAACCAAAAACCTGTGGAATAACGAAGACGATATTTCAGCAATTATATTTTTAATATTTTAAATAGTTTGTCCAGTAGATCAAATTAATAAATTAAATTGGTCTGTTTAAACCACACAATCCTTGTGTTTCATGTTTAGTAAACTATTTAAAATCATGATTTGAGTCGTACAGTCCTCTTCCCACTCCACAGTTTTATGGGTTCCACGGTATCTTTAACTGTATAAGACACTGAGACCATATTTTCTATTATTAATTTAAAAAGTTCTTAGTAAACTTTAAATAAACTGTGAACGTACTATAAAGTACCAGTGTTGCCTGTTCTATTATCTTATTAAGCTTTGACTGATTAAATATGATTAAAGATATCCATACTTTTGTTTAAAAAAATGTTTACTTTCATTTGTGACTTGCGTATTTCATGCTTCAGAAACAATGGAGAAATCATAAGAATTTAACGCTTTTTTAATTCAGAAATATGACGTTATCTCCAACATACTTGAGCAGTTCTCAAGGTTCCATTGTGAATCGCACAGGCCCCTCCTTTTTAAAGTTTTTATGACCTGGGAAAAAGTTTTTCTTGTTGCTTCTTCGTTGTTGAAATATCCTTTCGTTATTCCCTCACCCTATAATTTTTATCAACAGAGATACATCAGTAAATACAGCAGTAAGCGATTATATCAATACAAAGAAGACGACTTTCGATTTAAATTTTTATTTATATCAAGCTTTTTAACAACATGGATACACATAAACATAAAACAAAGAGAAGCTGTCAATTAAAAAAGCTTCTCTTTGATCAATTGTAAACTTGTAATTCGAAAAAAGCTTGTAAACCCTCAAAGCTTAAATACAAAAGTCGTCTTTATAGTATTGATAAAATCGCCTACCACTGTGCCATAACTTTGTTTAGGAAAAAATACTCTTTGGTTTCTGAGAGATATTGTTTAGCTTAGTTTAGTTTGGTTTAGTTTAGCTTGGTTTAGTTTTGTTTAGTTTGGTTTAGTTTGGTTTAGTTTGGTTCAGTTTGGTTTAGCTTGGTTTAGTTTGGTTTAGTTTGATTTAGTTTGGTTTAGTTTGGTTTAGTTTAGTTTGGTTTAGTTTGGTTTAGTTTGGTTTAGTTTGGTTTAGTTTGGTTTAGTTTGGTTTAGTTTGGTTTAGCTTGGTTTAGCTTGGTTTAGTTTGGGTTAGTTTGGTTTAGTTTGGTTTAGTTTGGTTTAGTTTGGTTTAGTTTGGCTTGGTTTGGTTTTGTTTTGTTTGGTTTTGTTTAGTTTGGTTTAGTTTGGTTTAGTTTGGTTTAGTTTGGTTTAGTTTGGTTTAGTTTGGTTTAGTTTGGTTTAGTTTGTTTTAGTTTGGTTTAGTTTGGTTTAGTTTGGTTTAGTTTGGTTTTGATCAGTTTGGTTTTGATCAGTTTGGTTTAGTTTGGTTTAGTTTGGTTTGGTTTGGTTTAGTTTAGTTTAGTTTGGTTTAGTTTAGTTTAGTTTGGTTTAGTTTAGTTTAGTTTGGTTTAGTTTGGTTTAGTTTGATTTAGTTTTGATCAGTTTTGTTTGATAATTTCCTTGACTTGTAATTCTCCTGTCTGATCCACACCTAATATTTCATCTGTATCTGAATCTACTATTCTCATTCTACAAAATATATGTTGTTTATTTTATTTTACCAGGATTAAAACTGGTTTAAAGGGACTGTACACGGTATTTTGAATAAGATTTTAAATGATAAGGCTTCAATAGATGCTTTACTACAGTTGTATATTTATCTTCGAATTTAAAATAAGTCGCAAATTGTAAAAATTTCAACATAAAAATAAATCTCCATTACCGCAAAAGTGCTCTTTAGGAAAAAAGGGGCATCATTTTTTAAATAAAATGTACTAATTGAAATTTAAAATATATGTACTAATTGAAATCTAAATTATATGTACTGATTAGATTATTAAAAATAAAATTTATCTTTTCAGTGAAAAATTTTTAAATGAAAATATCAAGAAGACCTTAGATTTGGAAGGAGTGTATTCACAGAGCCAGGAGCTGACTCCTGATAACTCCTATAATAAAAAAGTACAAAAATAGAACGCTTCTGTAGTGTAGAAAAGTGTTCCACTAAAAAAGAGGAAGTTCTGTCACTAAAAGACCCAAAATTACGGTTCGGATACTTTTAATTAGCCAACGAATTCTATAAGGGAAAAATATATATTTTTTCAATTCTCATTTTAGGAATTCATTAATTTTTTGAAAAAAAAGTGTACCATGGTGCCACCTAGAAAGTGTCACAGAAAAAAAAGCTAAAACAAATTTTTAATCTAAAGTTTGTTAAAACCATTTCAGATTGAGCCAATTATTTTCTGCTTCGTTTAATAGCTTGTAATAATATGAATTAAATAACTGACGAAAAACTGTTTCTGACCTATGGAATGCTGTTTCTGACCTATGGAATGCTGTTTCTGACCTATGGAATGCTATTTCTGACCTATGGAATGCTGTTTCTGACCTATGGAATGCTGTTGCAGCTCCTGTTGTCTCCGTCATCCCCCATCCTTCTCTGAACAGGACTCTCGGAGCCTTCAGAGCAAACTTCTCTATCAGAGTCAAACCACAGGGAGCAGCACCACAGTTCACCTAGCAGGGACGGATACAGGCTTTCAAAATGGTTAGAAGGGGGGGGGCATTAAAAATAATTATAAAAAATTTAATTTATGATGATTTACGTTTGTATAGTTTTAGATGTACTCCTCACATATCAGGTTGCAAGTTATAAAAGGAAAGTGAAAGAATTGTTTTTTGTCTTACAACTTGAACATATGATACATATCTCAGATTCTTGTGAAGCCACATATAAGTCAACAAAAAATTTTGAATTTTTAAGAACAAATCAAAAAAACATATGTCTAGTTTACCTGTCTTAGTGAACTGAGATGTTCTGCAGAAACCTTAGGACTGGATGCTAGGAATCCAACTATTGGAGGAACCATGTGGAGATAGGTTGGAGAATACTTCTCCAAACATCGGATATACAGGTCAGAGTCAAACCTGGATATAGAGGTCAGAGTCAAACCTGGATATAGAGGTCAGAGTCAAACCTGGATATACAGGTCAGAAACAAACCTGGATATAGAGTTCAGAGTCAAACCTGGATATACAGGTCAGAGTCAAACCTGGATATAGAGTTTAGAGTCAAACCTGGATATACAGGTCAGAGTCAAACCTGGATATACAGGTCAGAGTCAAACCTGGATGTAGAGGTTAGAGTCAAACCTGGATATAGAGTTCAGAGTCAAACCTGGATATAAAGGTCAGAGTCAAACCTGAATATAGAGTTCAGAGTCAAACCTGGATATACAGGTCTGAGTCAAAACCTGGATATACAGCTCAGAGTCAAACCTGGATATACAGGTCAGAGTCAAACCTGGATAAAGAGTTCAAAACCAAACCTGGATATGCAAAGTAAGAATCTAACCTAGACATAGAGGTCAGAATCAAATCTATATATATAGAGTCTTAATCAAACCTGGTATTAGAGGTTTGAATCAGATTTTAACCATAATTTAGCCTGTATAAAGAGTTTAAATAGAGGTTTAACTCAAGCCTGAAAAAAGAGGTTTCATCAAAACCAGGATTTCTCTCTGAACCCTCATTATTTCTGTATACCCCTGTATGCTAATATCCTACCTTGGTAGTGTAACCTGTCTTGATCCAGCCCAGAGTGCTCCAGTCATAGTTACAGCCAACCCGAATATATGATACATGGGGAGAACTGCGACTGTAACATCCTAAATGCATTAAAGAAATTGAGCTCTTGCCACAAACTAAAATTTTCTCTGCAACCTAATGGTGTAAACCTTTGATATTATAAACGTAGACTATTTGATAAAGAAAAATTCATAGTTTGAAATATTACAGGTCTACGGCACCGGGTTGGAAAGAAATAGAGATTAGAAATTCAGAATTTGTTGCAAGAATTCAGTTTCGTTTGAAATTTTTTTTTATCCTTTTTTAATTATATAAACCTGAAGTTTTCCGAAAGCTCTATAAAAGGATTCTCCGTCAACGGCCATTGTTAGGCATTGAACAACAAGGTTGTGTTGGCTTAATTCAACTCCCTGAACTCCAACAACATGGATTATTAAACTTGGACTATTTTATTTCTGGTAGAGCTCATACCTAGTTGGCAAATATAGTTCTTTAGATCGTTTTTAAACAAATCCCAACCCTACTCTCTAGCACTAGAATTATATCATTTTCTTCTCAATATATTTCGCCAAAAACTTTGGCATCATCAGGAGTTTGTCCTATAATATAACAGATATAAGCAAAAAATAAAAAATAAAAATAAAAAGTACAAGCACAGCAACTAAAATAAACAAAGAAGAGAACAAAAATAAAAATATTTTTATGTAAAATGGAATTTTTCAAAATGAATATTGTCAAAACACATAAAACTTAAAAGAAAAATTAGAAAACCGTACCTTACTCTTTTGAAGAGTATTGAATGACTGGAAAAGGATTGACTAGTTTATGGGCGTATGCAGTTCGTAATATAGTTCGTAAAGTTTCATATCCTGCAATCTAAGACTGAATTGCTGGGTTATCAATATAAAATTGTTTTTTTTTCCACATTTGAAAACTTTAGTTTAGTTTATGTTATTTTAAATTTTAATATCCTTCCTTTGGTGGACCTGTAGTACCGCTTGAAAAAGGCATGATTGCAGTGTCTTTGACTGTATCAATCCTAGCTCCTGACCTAGCAGGAGATACGGAGAGAAACTGGGAGTACGGAACAGATTTCTCATCAAGTTTAAGTGCTCCTGTATTGAGTTGGCTTTCAGCATCAACAAACACAACCATGCTTAGTTTAGAGTACAAGGATACAGTTGATAATACCTAGAGGACAACATAGCTATAATGAAAGAGAATAAAAACAAACTGAGTTAACAAAACATAGCTCTAATTTAATATTAGTTATCTATTTTTTAATGTTGTACACAATACAAATTCATAATCAAATGAATCCATGTAAAGTATATCGTATCAAGTACAGTACATGAAATATCTACTCCTACGTACACAATACACATTCATAATCAAATGAATCCATGTAAAGTATATCCCATCAAGTACAGTACATGAAATATCTACTCCTACGTGCACAATGCACATTCATAATCAAATTAATCCATGTTAAGTATATCCCATCAAGTACAGTACATGAAATATCTACTCCTACGTACACAATACACATTCATAATCAAATGAATCCATGTAAAGTATATCCCATCAAGTACAGTACATGAAAAATCTACTCCTACGTGTCTAAGTCACCTTCTCCTGCAGACTGTTCGCTGCGAAGAGAATATCAACCCTGGCAGCCTCAAGCTGATGAGCTATCTCGGATGGAGTATACGCAGGGTTCAGAGTTGTCACTGTTACTCCAGCATGGAGAGATCCACAGATTATTGCAGGATATTCTACACAGTTTGGGAGAAGGATGCCGATGGTTTTCACATGATTCAAACCTGAAAAAAAATCATGAAATTAATTATCTGTCTATCTATATATATATATATAATTTGCTTGTTTGTTTGTTTGTATTAAATAAACGTAAAAAAAGTTAAACTAATGGGTTCCGAATTTTTTTGGCAACTCGCATGATCCCGGGGCAGGTATTTTGCGTGGTCAAAATTTCGATTTTTCAAAATCAACGGGAAAAAAATCGAAAAAATCCTCGAAATAATTTCTGTTATTGTTTGATAATTAAAAAATAGAAATTGCACAAGATATAACAACCATTAAAAGTTAAAATCAAAGATCTAATTAGTCGAAAAGGAAAATTATGTTTACCTTGTAAAGTTTTGGAAAGTCTTAAAGCTTCTTCTTGAAGTTCTCCATGACTTAAGGTTCTATAATAAAAAAATTAACTATGAATTCTACCTCCTGTGAATCTTGTATCCCGGAGATTGGATGAATCCTACCTCCTGTGTATCTTGTATCCCGGAGATTGGATGAATCCTATATAACCTCCTGTGTATCTTGTATCCCGGAGAAAGGATGAATCCTGCCTCCTGTGTATCTTGTATCCCGGAGAAAGGATAAATCCTAACTCCTGTGTATCTTTTATCCCGGAGAAAGGATGAATCCTACCTTCTGTATATCTTGTATCCCTAAGTAAGGATGAAATCTACATTCTGTATATCTTGTATACCGGAGAAAGGATGTGAATCCTACCTTCTGTATATCTTGTATCCCGAAGAAAGGATGAATCCTACCTCCTTTATATTTTGTATCTCTGAGTAAGGATGAATCCTACCTCCTATATATCTTGTATCTCTGAGTAAGGATGAATCCTACCTCCTGTGTATCTTGTATCCCGTAGTAAGGATGAATCCTACTTCCTAAATATCTTGTATCTCTGAGTAAGGATGAATCCTACCTCATATATATCTTGTATCTCTGAGTAAGGATGAATCCTACCTCATATATATCTTGTATCTCTCAGTAAGGATGAATCCTACCTCCTATATAACTTGTATCCTGGAGAAAGGATGAATCCTACCTCCTATATATCTTGTATCCTGGAGAAAGGATGAATCCTACCTCCTATATATCTTGTATCTCTGAGTAAGGATGAATCCTACCTCCTATATATCTTGTATCCTGGAGAAAGGATGAATCCTACCTCCTTTATATCTTGTATCTCTGAGTAAGGATGAATCCTACCTGCCTGAAAGACCACATGTCATGGCTGGTAAATGTCCTTTAGTCTCCATCCCCTCCCAAACCATATCAGTGTACGTAATTTTCGGAACCTAAACACATTTTCAATCATTTCTTAAACATAATAATTAATGTAAATTTTATTTGTATTACATGAATATCGTATGGAGGATGAAGAGTATTATCAAGAACTCTCTCATCGAAGATTTTTGTAATTCTGGGAAGAGTCACAAGAGTTCTTTTGCCACACCTTAAACAAAGAGTTTTTCGCCAAAACAGTTTTTAATATCATCGCTCAAAAATTTAACACCGAAACTTACCAGTCTCGGGATTTCCAATATGTGGTCAACCGTTTTATTTCCTTCAAAATTGACGAATTGCCACAAACTCAGATTTTCTAATTTCTTTATCTGTACAACCCAAACTCGCAGACCTTGGATATTTTAAACTATGAATTCTGTTAGATCAAATAATTTAAGTTTGAAATATCAAATGTTTACACCATCAAGTTGACGAGATAAAGTGATTTGAAAATTTAAGTTTGTGGCAAAAACTTTGTTTCTTTGTCCATATTCCAGTTTATTCAAGCCCAAAAAGACTGTTCAAATGTTTAATATCTCCGTCATTTTATAAATACAAAGAAGGTAGACCACATTTTGGAAAGCTTATTAGACTTTTTATATCTTTTTTTGATGCATTTTATGTCGTTTATCAACTATCGGAAATCAAAGACGATATTCATCTCGTCTCTCAATTCCCATGTTTATTGGGACAGTCACAGAACAGTAGATCTGAGCCTAATTCCAGATAAGAGTGTATCATGTGTTAACAGTATAAGCTAATTAATTCTTATTTCCCTTTTCTATATTTATTTTTATTCTAATTACTTTTACCTCCATGGATAGGAGACAGAAGAAACCAAAATACGCTTCATTTTGAAAAACAACTTGTTTCCACTAAACCGTCATCATAAATAATAATATTTATTGATAAGAGCAAATGAACAGCTGAGTTCTAGCCTATATATATATATCTTTCTTTAACTAAAACCTGATTTTCCTATCTCTGACTAGCGAGATTATACTTTCCTAGATTGCTTTCTGTTCAATTCTCAGATGATAATGACATTTTTTTAAATGTTTAAATTTTCTAACTTGAGAATCAATAAAGTTTTCACCTTTTTTTAATGTAAGATCATAAATAATATTTTGAGAATATACTGTATCTCTTAGATGTTTTCTTTAACCTCTATTGTTATTTAAAAATGAACGTATGATATGTTCATTGCATTACATGTTTCATCTTCTCTTTTTATTGTAAACATTTCTTACCCCCCGCCCCCCCCCCGTTCTGATCCTCAACTACCCATACCCTTACCCTCCCCTTCCCTTTGTTTGTAACGTGCTTTATTCAACTTTTGATACATTTATTTTAAACCTTAAAACTTAATAGGGATTCACCTAGTATAGATATCTCGAGGTACCCAGTACAACTAGTATAGATATCTCCAGGTACCCAGTACAGTTAGTATAGATATCTCCAGGTACCCAGTACAACTAGCATAGATATCTCCGAACCCTGTACAGTGTACACCTAGTATAGATATCTCCAGGTACCAAGTACAGTGTACACCTAGTATAGATATCTCCAGGTACCCAGTACAACTAGTATAGATATCTCCAGTTACCCAGTACAGTGTACACCCAGTATAGATATCTCCAGGTACCCAGTACAGTGTACACCTAGTATAAATATCTCCAGGTACCCAATACAGTGTACACCTGGTATAGATATCTCCAGTCTCCAGGTACCCAGTACAACTAGTATAGATATCTCCAGGTACCCAGTACAACTAGTATAGATATCTCCAGGTACCCAGTACAGTGTACACCTAGTATAGATATCTCCAGCTACCCAGTACATGTATACCTAAGTATCTGAAGATTGACCAGGGTGACTAGTTGAGCAGTGTATCAACCCTCCGGCTCAATCCTTACATTAATTCCATTCTTCAATCCTTTAACAAAAAATTCTATCAAAGTCAATTTGATCAGTTGTCTATTAAAACATCGGAAAATAAATGACTTAGGGTTGCGGGTTTTTGTCAGATTTCCGTTCTGATCGTTCTTAGAATAAATATTTGACAGGTCATCTTTTTAAATCATAAAGAATTTATATCGATTAATTTTCTCTTGTGCAGGCATAAGGTTAACCTTATAAAAATAGTTACATAATGTGCAGTAAAGTCAGAATAGGCTTTGATCTGTGCTCATAATGGTTGATGATTATATCCTGTTTATGAAGAACATAAACTCTGAATGATATCTGAATGAATAAATTGAGTTGTTTTGGTCTAAGATATAAGAAAAGAAGGAATAATAAAGGCAATAGTGCATTGCTGGGACAAGAATAAAGGAAGAAAGGAAAAAAGACAAGAAAGTAAGGAAGGAAGAAAGGAAGAAAGAAGAAAATGGCTGAAGAAAGAAAGGAAGGAATGAAGGAAAGGCGGATGGAATAAAGGAAGAAAGGAAAAAGGAATAAAGAAAGAAAGGAAGAAAGGAGAAAAGAAAGGGGGATAGTGACTAGGGTAATCTCCGACAAGAATACAGAAAGGTATGTATACACTGTAAACTGGAAAATATGTTTATGTTGGTTTGATGTCCAGCAATATTTACTACATATTGGAGGCTTAACTTTGAATCTAAATACTGTCTTGAGACGGTAACACAGTTGTTCTATCGGAGCATTTTGTTACAAACCAAACTAAATATTTTCAGTAAAAACCGGTTTTATAAAACCAAACCAACTATTTTTATTGAAAGAGTCTGCATCAACCGTAAAAATAATCTAAACCAGAGGTTCTTTACGCAAAAAAATCTAAAAATCATTACAGAGACATAATTTAATGATGGGAATGCAAAAAAATAGACTTCTGTTTGGTACGATGGATTTGAAACCCCAGATTTTATCAATTTTATATGTATTTAATGTTGTTATGAAGCAAATATTTTTATCAGTAGCTTGAAAATCAACTCATTAATTGAAATGGGTTTGTGCACAATGCACAAGTGTTGTGTTTCATGTTGATTGTACTATTTGAAATCTGAACTTGAGTCTAAAACTCGTCTTTTATCCACAGTTGTGTTGGGTCTCACTGTAGGTCTGTTTACCCAGGCTGAACAACTGTGTTTGTAGAAGAAAAGCTGGACTCTAGTGAATGAGGGTTTATTTGACATTATACACATTTACTTAGATCCAATACATACAATTGTCTTGCTGGACTTTTATCAGGGATAATGGTAGGGATATACCCAAGGGGGTGGGGAGGCAGGAGAAGGAAGGTAATGGGGAGGGGAGGGGTTACCAGGAGAACTATGGGGGGGGGGGCTAAAGGATAAAGGGGATGAAAAACCAGAAGTTGTGGGATGAGATGTATAATAATTTGGATCAGAGGATCTAACTGTATTTAAGGTAATGTAATGTTATTCTTTAAGATATCAACTGAGCCTAAACCTTTTGACTCTACACATTAATTGAACCCAGTTTCTACAAATTTTCTTCAATTTTTACAATTTGAAATTCATCAACAGAGCACTGGCATAATGCGGAACGTGGTTAGAATTGATACTTTGCCACAAACTCAAATTTTCTCATCTCTAAATCTTTACAACCTGATGGTGTAAACCATTGATATATAAAATTGGAGTTTTTGTCAGAATTAAAAGTTTGAAATATCCAAGGTCTATGATTTTGGGTTGCACAGATAAAAGGAATAAGAAGGTCTGAGTTTGTGGCAAAGACTCAAATTAAAGAATTCGACAAACTAATAGGTTCCATAACAAACTTTCAGGCTTTATTCAAGTCTTTTTTTTGTGAAGTCTTTTTAAGATTTTAAGTGCGGACTAGGGACCCAAAAAGTCTGATTTTGATTCTCGTAATCAACCCTAGCTGAAAACTTTAGAATCGTGGATATCGAGATCAATGCTTGATCTCCTGGTTTTACTAAACCCGAAATTAGGTTAATACGCATTCAATATCCAAGAAAGAAGTTTAAAATTCAACCAATCAGCGTGTCATGCTAAGATGCGCTCTTTGACTTTTGAAAAACCGGTTTTTATTTTTTGGGCATTTCTGGTGTTGATGATGTCATATCAATTGAACTAAAGATCGATTGAACGAATGTAAGTTTTGGATTAATGTTTATTAAGACTAACGTTCAAAATGACTATAGTCCTTAAATGTGATAAAGCATATTTTTTAATAAGTTCATATTAACATGATTAAATTTATATTTGTTTAAATGCATCGTATCTGTGATTGTTATCATAAGTAACTTTTATACGGTAGGGATATCCAAAAAGAGAGGATTAAGAAGAAAATCAAAAGTGTGTCCATTGCATGGATACTTAGATTAAGTAATCGGGATTAAGGATATTTCATTCTAAAGTTTTCAGCTCTGACTGTTTTGAAATTCTATATCAGAGAGAGAGCCTGTATCCCAGCAAACAAAAACTCGAGTTAAAATCGAGTAAAACTCGACTTTTGCCTTCCAGAAGTGGAGTTTTAATCGAGTTTAGAAGTGGAATTTTAATCGGCTATAGTCGTGCCATACAAGGATTAAAACTCGACTTTTCACCAAGATGATTTCTGGATGATTTCTGGATGATATCTGGATGATATCTGGATGATGAAAAGTGGAGTTTTAATCGAGTTTAAAAGTGGAGTTTTAATCGAGTTTAAAAGTGGAGTTTTAATCGAGTTTAAAAGTGGAGTTTTA